CTTCATCTCTCTTGACAATAAACCATATTTACAGCTACTGCTAATGGAGGTTTTTTAGAACTCTCCCTTTCTGAGTCTATGTTGACGGGATAGCAATGCTGTCATAAATCTTGTTCATGCCCCACATTGCTTAACTATTTTCCTGTCATCCACAATGATAACATGGCAACTTTTATCAAAGATGCAATTCTCTCGTATATAAATTGAACATAATTAATTGATTATTTCAAATTCTTACCAATAATAACATTTATTTGATGATGTTCTTCATCTGTTATTACATCTTTAAATTGGGTAATTTCATTACCACAGCAGAGGTAACCATAATTGATGATGTGAACAATGTTGCACAGATATTGAATGTTGGTAAACTGTGATAAGCAGCACTTAACGTGTTAGAGCCACTTATATCATATCCATTGCATGTGATGCTCCATTCCAATACTTGGTTGATATTGATTATATATAATATTTTGTGGATGTATTTGCTCAATATGATAGAGTTGTGTGGAGAAGTACCATGATGTTCCAGCCAACCATTGGCAAGACTGACTCTGGCTAACAGAGTTTGCAGTTGGTTGATGGAGTTAAGTGATGCCATGGTATAAGAAGAGATGGGGAAAGAAAGATTGAATTGCAACTACTTAGAGCCATTGTGACATTTTTTAGCAGTGAAAGTATTTTAGTATTTTTTAGGCATAATAATTATGTAATTATTATGTTTTAAAATTGAATTATATAATATCTAATATCATTACTAAGTTGCATGCATGATCTGATTATTGCAAGCCTGCATGCATGCAGTGTACATGCATTAATGTTTTATAATAACAATCAGTGATTTACTTGAGAATTATGTGTTAATGTAGAGATAAATTTAGAGCCTTGTTCGTTGATAACAATGTAAGATAATGGAGCTAGCAAATGTCGAGCTTCAGAGATAAATTCAAGTTGCAGCTGCAGTTTTATAAAGTCCAGTGGATCTGATAAGTGCTACCTAGGTAGCGCATCACGTAACTAAAAGTTGTCTACAAGATTGGGCTTGTATATTTGTCTTAAGTAATAATTCAGTCAAATGGAGTGCATGCATTGAAATGTTAACCCCCCCAATTCTATGCACACAATGTCAAACTATCTTCACCCAAAAGGAGAAACCTCTGCTTGTTGTGTAGAAGCTGTAACAAGTACAACAGTGGACTATTCGCAAAAGCAGTATTTAGATATTACTCCACTAACATAGCAAATCAGTCAATGAAACTATGACAATTCCACGCACAATGATTGTGGCAACATTTTCAATGATCTTTTTAGCCCAATTTTGCCCGTGTGCTGGAGCAACAGGTACATGAAGTTTTGCAAATTTGCAACTAACACAAATTTGAACAATATCACTGTATATTGCCAAAATAACAATGGTATTAGTATTTTTTTCTGTACAGTCACGTCACACAAACATTTAAGTATTGAAATATCACTAAAATAACAAGAAATCATCATTAACTTGAATACAATCTTCCTTTGAATGTCGTCAAAGAGAAGCCATTTTCTGACCTCACCCACCTAAATCCAATGACGGTCGTTGGCCGGGCGGTTGATACTGGTTTGAATGGATCACATGAGCTAGTTTCCTTTCCTGGTTATGTTGTCTATAATACTTATGGCTTTATTTAAGAAGTTTATGCAAATATCACCATCTACCAAGCCAAGTACATTAAGATTTTTTTATTATGAGCTCACTGGTAAGTGGTTTCATTAATTAATTTATCAATTCTAATTTATAATGTTATAGTTGGCCAGTCAGCCTTAACCAACATGAGTGAATCTAATATAGATTCTAGTATTAGAACAATTGTTGAGATGGAAGATCCAGACATTGTACATGACTTGCAGGCATTAAATGGAAAACATTACTCTAAGTACAATGTTTTTTGGGAGGAGTCACAGAAGTTTCTAAATCAGGACTTAGCTGCAGTTGATGAACGCTGACATTGTAGTATCACCACATTTATCTCATGCAATTTCAAAGAGGGACTTTGTAGAACAAGTTTTTCAACATTGTCCAGAAGGCACTCCAATTCCTTCTGCCTGAGTAAGTCAGGTTACAATTCTGGCCCAAAAATCCTTCATTACAATGATCTCTTCAGTACACTGGTAGATTCAAGATGAAGTTCATGATTTAGCAGTGTCTGTTTTGTAAAGACCTTATTGATGCAGATTATTATGCTGCTGCATGCTACTGTAACCTACTTGAATATGCTGTTACTGTCAGAGAGTTTTGTCTCTTCTATAATCTAATTGATAAGCACAAAATAAAAATGGAGAACCTGAATATCCACTTGCAGCAGCTGAGCGTGGGAGATGAGTTACTGTATGTCACAACGAGTTTTTGACTGTTGCAGATCACGATTTCACAAAGTTTACTCTCATTCCATCAGCTTTCTTTAATATTTCTGCTCCTGAGAGTATTTTGGACTCATGGTATACTGGTATGTTGTATAGATTTGTTGATTTATGTTATTACGGATGTTACTTTGATACACTATACCTAGCTTACTTGTATTTTATGGCCACAAATTTTCAATGTTTAAATTTTCATTGAAATTATTTGTTTATATGGCAACAGGCAGCCATACATTTTGACTAAATTTCAATATAGTTTGTTGACATAAAAGCATTGATGTGCTGCTGTGAAATATTCAAAAGTTCTTCTCCCTTATAACTTTGCCACTGACCCACATTTACTTTTTTCATAAAAAAGCAAACTGCACTGTATTCTGTACCTGCTATAATATTTTTTGTACTTACCCCTATTAACAATCTTTATAGATAATTGCATGCGTATAGGCAAATATTGTGAAGTGCTCTAGTAGATGCTTGTTTAGAATGGTGACCAGAAAGTGCATTCAATAGAAAGACACAAAGTTTTTAGTGTGGAAGTTATGTAGAGATCCAATAAAAAAATTATCAGGAGCTGTAATTTTGATAAATGTATGTATGTCCTTCCATTTGTCACCTACGCCTTAATACATTTATATAGTTAATAATTTTGGATGGTGGTGAATTTCAAGTTTTAGTAAATTGCAGGTTTTAATTTGGCTGTAGCTGAGCTTCAAAATGGGGTGTTTTATTTTGGTAAATCAGTACCAATTCACCCCTACAAAATAACCAGCATTACTGTATTTTATAGTTTTGTGTATTTTCATTTATAATTACCGACATTATCCCTCAAGTTCTATATATATTTTTAATGTTTAGGTTCTGTTTATGTTGGATTGAAGGATCCAGTATTCAAACCATCAGCACCATTTAGGCATGCATGTGAACTGTAAAATGGCATAAAATTGAATTCACTGAGTAAGCAAGTCCTGTTTCTTTATTGTGATGGAGGGCCAGACCATCGGCTGACATACGTTTTAGTGCACCTTTCAATTATATGCCTGTTTTTCAAGCTGAATTTAGATTATATATGTGTAGCTCGTACTGCTCCATATAATAGCTGGATAAATCTCGTAAAAAGAGTGATGTCGATTATCAATTTTGGCCTCCAATGTGTTGGTTTAGCTCGAAAGAAAATGGAAGACGATCTGATTTGAGAACTCATTTAAAAGGACAGGATTTACTTGTACAGGATAGCTTATCTCTTGCAAAGATTCTTTTTTGTCAGATTTTTAGTAGATCAAAGCTGCATGATGAATATATTTGTACTTTTAATTCTGCCACTACAAGTGAGCTCAGTGAGTTCTGGTCAGCAATTATAACTCTTGATCTGAAGATGGTATCTATCGCAAAGAAACTATTGGTCAACATGAGAAAGTTGTTGCGTTTATGAGTCATTGCTGCGAGATGTCTCACTACTCTTTCATTATTCTAAAATCTGGAGTTGCATCCTGTTCAATATATTCACATATTTGTCTTCCCTTGATTGTTTTCAACCAACTCAGACATCTTCCCCTTCCCATTCCTGATCAAGACAATGAGGGCCACTATTTCCTTTTCAAGATGTATTTGGCTCTCAGACAAGTGAAGAACACAGACATTCATATAAGAAGGTTGCAGTGGCTTCACAGGGAAGAAGAAAGAGGAAGCTACCATATTACGCCAGTGTACAAGACGTCACGAACTCACTACAAATGGCGCAGTGTTCTGAATGCAGTCTATGGCATTTAATATTCTCTAAATATGTGACTATAATTGACAAAAGGTACCTTATGGCAGATTTTAAAATTCATCATTATGATGAAAAATATGAATCTGTGAGTGCTCTGTTAGACAACTATTGTTTCTAAAAGTTGCATAGTAACTTTTTGCATCCTCTAGAGTAATTTCATGATGAATGGAGCTCAAGAAGTTGGATTTTTAAGGCTATAAAGACCAATTTTCTTATCCACCATAAGGTACCATTTGTCAATTACGGACAACTAAGGAACAGCGTGAAGTATTGCAGCAATCAATTGAGGACTTTGAGTATACTTGTGGGGCTACACTAAAAGATTTACATCTACCTGAAGAATTTGATGATGATGACGTAAGGGATTATGACTGTTTCGATACTAGAGAGAGACTGTATTTTAGTGCAAAATATGCACCTATTTACATATATTGTGACATTGAGCAGTCATATAGTGATGAAAGGAGCTATCCACAGTGCTTTATAAGCCCCCTGTTGTTGAAAAAGAAAATACTCCTTTTTTGAATATTCATAATAATTAATTATGCACCTGCCGCATGGTATCCGCTTCTGAAACAGAAACCAATTACTTTAAAGGGTATCTTTACCGAAAATTAACATATCATTTTTTTGCATTTTCAAACTCTTCATATCAAAAAACCAACCTTGCAGGCGTAGTGTAGCGACTTGCATAGTTCATTGCAAAGAAAATTGCGCATGAAAAGTGCAATTCTTCATTGTGGCAGCCATTTTGAATTTTACTTTCTGTTGAGGGTGGAGCAATTTGATGACGTAGATGTAGGAACACGCATATCCATGCCAGGCAAGAAAGATGGTCAGGCGCTGTATTGTAGGAGGCTGTAGCAACACTACCAGGGACGGAATTAGTCTTCATAAGTTTCCTTCTAATATATTAACAAGGAAACAGTGGATACCGGAGGTGAAGAAGACCAGAGCAAATTGGAAAAAGCCTAGTGCGTTTTCTGAAGTCTGCAGTGATCACTTTTCTGAGGACTGCTTTGAGAGCATAGCAGACAAACTGGGATTAAGAATGAAACGTATTCTTAAGCCAAATGCTATTCCTACAATTTTCAAAAGTCGTCCCTACAATAAGACAAAGTCTAGAATTTCTACAGCACTTCAGAAAAGGGAGAGAGCAAGAACAGTAAGTGCCGCAGACATGCCACCCATCAAGAATTATTGTATTTATTATTATAACAGGTATTGTCTATTACAGATCCTGATATTGTCCAACAGACCTGCGAAACTAATCTTGATTATAGTGATTGCTGTACAAAGTGCTTATCACGACGAAGAGTCATCGATAGAGGTCGACAGTGGTTCAGAGAACTTAGAGCCTGATTCTACTCTCAAGGTATAAGCTGAGGGAGGCTGTCCTTATTTTTTGTAGTATAGGTTGATGTCTCAATTCAAGCAGAACCAATAAGAAAAAGGAATTTGAAATGTCAAGTGAGAGAATTAAAAAAGAAATGTGAAAACACCTGTAAGCGAATAGGTCAGCCTAAATTTTAAATGAAGTCGATATTCTTATATGTAGTTACTTAGACATTACGTGTTACAACTAAAGAAAATGGAGTTCAGTGTAATCTACTTGAACCTTCACAATCTGGCACAATTTTAGAAGAAATGTTTTTGAAGACATGGAATATGAAACAGATGGTGAAAGTGATGCATCTACTTGTATATCTGAAGCTGATTTCTCCTTTGAAGATGATGGCAATATGTGAGTATAGATATTAGTTTTTTGGCTATTGTTATAAAGTTATAACAAAAATTTAAAAAAAAGTTTGAGTAGGATTCAGAGTATCAATTCGTCAAAA